AGCAGGAATAGAGAATGTTTGGGTCACGCTCACTGGCTGTCAACTTGATCAAAAGAGAAACTGCAACAAACTTTCTCTCTAATCGTGAGATTCACTCTTCAGACATCTTGAAAGCGAAAGAAGTTTGATGTCCCCAGTCGGTAGAATTTTACCTTTTATCAGCACAAATTAAGCCCTCATCAAATTAAAGATTCAGGGGCCTTTGGAAAATCTTGAACTCCAGTAACCTCAGGACTGGCCAGAAGGTCCGTGGCCACCTTGCAACTCCCCACCCAACATCTTCTTGGTTAAATGATCACATGCTGATTATCCTGGAGTACCCTGAGAGTTTCTGAATGCTGACCTCCAGAATGAAGACCGTCTGGTGTGGGCAGAGATTTCCCCCAAAGAAAAAGACCTGACTCGACTAGGTAATTTTATAGTCTTATCGATGAGTTGAATGACAATAGGCAAACATCTTTCCTTGGCATTTAGGAAACATTTGGTAAGCCTTTGACCTCACCTCAAATCTTTACTTCAAATCTCACTTTGATTTGTGGAAAGCCAACTGTCCGAACTCTCAAGGGAGATGGTTTTCTGAGCTTGAACCAATCAAAGCATGGCAGTGGGGCCAATGGTCATCTGGTCATTGCATGCCACTTGGTGTTGCTGATGTGTTCGTGGTATGTTCTGGATTTGACAGGTCCATCATCACAGTAGCTCAGTGAATGGCTTGCTTGAATTAAGCCTGGGGACAGGCTTCTCTTTATTGATTGGCTTTCGGTTTCTTTGTGTCCGCGACTTGGTCTTTGTTGCATCTTTGAGCAGCCAGACTGGGAGGCGGAGGGGTGGTGGCGGGGGGAGATTTCCTTTTCCATGAATTATGCTACAGATAATATTTGGGTAAATATGTCTGATGTGTACACTGCTTTGATGAAAATGTTACTGTGCCAAAAAGGCAGACATTTGTCACGCTTGTCCTGCTTGCTAAACATTCTAACATCCCCTAGCAACCAGTGCATGGAAACGGCCCTCCACATTAGGGCAGAAGGGAACTCAATTCAGACCAGCTAGAGGAGAGGGTAATAAAGTGGTTCACTCCAAGATTTCACGACGATCCGGTTGCCCTGAGAGTTACCCTGAGAGTTACCCTGGGCCACTGTTTTCATATAAGACATTCATTTCTGTAAAGATCCCTGAAAGTTAGCAGCGTCTGACATACAGTAGTAGTCCTGGCCATACAGGTGCCCCTAGACTGAGCAAAAGAGACAGCAAGCAACAGGCTTCTGTTTGTTTGTTTTATTTTCTACCCTTTTTTGTTTGTTTTTTGAGACCTTTAACTTTCATCAGCAATGTTAGACTGTACCATATGAAATTGCTACCTTTGTGTGCCCCACATGGTGCAACACTGGCAATTTCATATAGCTCAGCTTAATGGAAACCCAATTAAAATGCCATAATATCAATTATCTTGCTCTCTGCACTTGAAAAATATATATGTATGGTAATATATATGTGTGTGTTGTGTATATATATTATTCATATACATATGTGAAAAATATATGTATACACAACACATAACACACACACACACACACACACACACACACACACACACACACACACCTGCCTTAAGACCTCATGGAGGACTCATAACAGTATCTAGGTAAATCTTAATACAAGGAGGTCAGGACTTGTGAAGTTCAGCCAGTCACAAGCCCCATGCTAGAACATCTATTAAATGCGATACTCACAACCTATGAATAAAAGGTTCTATCTCAGAGAGAAATAGATTAGTAGTTCTTTCTTAAAACTCAATAGGAATAAGTAGTCATGTCTTTGGGGTCATGGAGAGGTTGATCTGTAGATCAACTATTTAAAATTATATGAGTGGTAGGGATGGATGGATACATACATGCATAGAGGGGTGGATGGATAGATGGATGGATGGATGCATAGAAAGGTAGATAGATGCTAGATAAATAGATACATAGGTGGTTAGGTGGATGAATGGAAAGAAAGGGAGAAGAGAGGAAAAGGAAGGAAGGGAGGGAAGGAGGGCAGAAGGGACGGAGGGAGGGAGGGAGGAAGAATGGAAGAAAAGGAAAAGAGAGAGAGAAAGTGAGCGAGACACAGAGAGAGAGAGAGGAAAGAAGGAAGGAAAGAAAGAAAGAAGGAAGGAAGGATGGACAGATTGGAAAAAACTATCATCTCTATGCTCTTATAATATTTCATCATAAGC